TGGTTTTCCTCAAAAATAAATATAGGAACCGTTTGGGAATTTGGGATAAAATTAACATATTTTCCTCCAAACGTGAAGTTTTTAGTTAACCAGAAACAACTGCATACTTCCCATTAATTAAAGTATTTGGTTTTTATTTTGTTTTATTACATTTTTCTTTGAGCTAATGATTCGTTATTAAAATATATAAAACTATAATTACTATTTAAATATGTTTTCTTGTACACAAACACCAGGTTATGCAAAAAAATTAGCGGGTCACGAAGCATAAGCACAAAAATAACTGGGCCACGGAAAAAAAATTAGTAAACGCTGCTATATAGTATAGTATTTGAAACAATTTAAATGGGAAAAACTCGAAACAAATAGAAATTTTTACACAATACATTGTAGAGGAAAAGGTGCCACTTGTAGAAACTGAAGTAATTATTAAATTGGTCTAATAATGTAATTTTGACTATATGTTAAGACAATTTGTAAAAATAAAATCTGTCAAAAAAATATAAATATTAAATTTGTCTATACCATTATTATAAAAATACGGAGCGGGACGCAGGACGGGACAGATGGAAAAGTGCAAGACGCGGGACGGAACAAGAGCCTGTCCTGGATCCTGCGTGAAAACATATGCATCTCATTCAAGAAAGTAGGTACGAAGTCAAAACATGTACCTAGAGAAAAATAATCCAAGGAGTAAACGACAGAAATAATCAGTTACCCGAAGAGCATGCGGAACATCAGAAGAAAAAAGGCTAAAGTATCTTAAGTGTGAAATATTTTTAGTGTGACAAGTTAAAATATTATTAAGGCAATAGACGTTTTTATTTTTATTTTTTATATTTATTTTTATACTAAGATTATTGACAAAAGCACGAGAAATTGTAACAGAAAACTCAAAATGTCTTGCTATAGCATATCAAATCGATTTCAAATTTACAATTACAACAACTACAACTTTATTGATGTGTAGGATATTTGTACATGTTTTTTGTAATTTGCAACAAATATCTTGTTGCTAATTAACACAATTGTTTATTTAACTTATTCACCTACTTGTTTTATCAAAATTTATGAGCAATAAATCAGCTCATTAAGAGAATAATAATTCATTTTGGTGAATAAAAGAATCATAAAAATCTGACTAATCCGTTGAAAATATAATGAGGTGTTGCATGTGAAATAGATTTTGTTTTCAAGGACAAAGTTATCGTTCCGATTACTAAAATTGACAGAAACTATTATGGTTAATATGCACAAGTTTCCTGGCAATTATGTCATCAAGCTGTTTCACTCAATTTATTCGGTCTATTTATTTTAGAATGATTTTCACGGGGCTGTAATTCGTATTATACAAAAAAATAATTGTTACATATATATATATATATATATATATATATATATATATATATATATACATATATATATATATATATATATATATATAATCTTATTATATATATATAATCTTATTATATATATATATATATATATATATATATATATATATATAATAAAATTATATTTCTTAATGTTTTAATTTTTGCTAATGATAGTTATTGGTAAAAAGTCTTCAAAAAATTATAACATCTTAAAATATTACCGTTTTTATATAATTTTAAAAATAATTTTGTATAAATATACAAAACAACACTGGGGCTGTAATTCGCCCCACCCGGTAGTAGGTGTTTTAAAATTGACTTAGTATTAGGAAAGTTAAACGTGCTGGAATAGCCGCAATATAAATTTAGAAAAACTTCAGTCTGGTTGCATGCGAACAAAACTATCCATATATAAATAAAACATTATACGTACTTTTGAAATTTTAATTAAGATACAAAAATATGAAGGGCATCGCGCCAATTATTTCTACGTTGGAATATATGAGACATGTGTATGCAATCATTTTATTGCACTCACTTTCATACAATGTAACTTTCAAATTATAATTTCAAAGGTTGATTGTTGGAGTCTCCTAAATTTAGTCTCGTCTTGAAATAAATACGATATGAACTTGATTTAAAACAAATCGGTTGAAATTACAATATACATCAAATTCAGCTACTCGATAAAGAGACAAAATGAAACTTTAAAATTCTATAAGAACTGAAATTGCACAAAAATGATTTTAAACAACATCCTGACTTTCAATACCTCAGTCAAATTACTCGGTACGTGGTTGAATCAAAAGCTTTCCTGGAAAGAGCATAACTTCTGGACCTCCTTTCATACTATCCAGAATCAATTTAAGTTAGAAAATAATTAAAACAAAAACGTTGAAATTAGAATTGGTCTTAGAATAAACAAAAATGTAAAAATAATTTCAAAAGTTCTCTTGCTTAAAATAATAATTAGTTTCAAATTATCGTATTTGTTTAATCCTAAGAAGACAGAGATGGTCCTCTTCACCAGAAAAAGAAGAATCACGTGCTTAATACCCCAAGGATTCTATACTACTGTCTAAACTTTTCTAACGAGGTGAAGAACCTTGGTATTACCCTTGACAGGAAGTTAACATGGAACTCACACGTAGATAGTAGAGCTAGAAGAACATATATTGCCTATAAGCAATGTCGACGAACAGTCGGATGGACCTGGGGCCTTTCGCCCAGAGTGATCGCCTGGGTCTAAACTGCTATTGCTTGGGTACCAAAGGCACTACAGGCAACAGCGATTAACAAATTAAACCATATTCAGCGAATGGTTTGCATAAATATAACAGGTGCTATGAAAACAACACCAATTGCTGCAATGGAATTGGTCATTGGCATCACACCTTTAGACATATGTCAAATAGGTGGCGTTGGTAACAATGATGCGACTGCGCTCAGCTGGTGCAAACCTGGATGTAGGAATGGGACAATCGAGAATTCATTTCTGGCGGAGAGAGTTGGATGCGCTACCCCTGCTACAAGCAGGCTGCTACTCAAGGGAACCAAAGTTTGTCTTTGACAAACCCTACAAAATCGAAACAAGACAGTATAGGGAGACAAACGTGGCAAATGCGTATTTTATATACACCGATGGCACCAAAATGGAAGAAGGCTCAGAATGCGGGATATACTCCAGATCACTGAACCTAAGAATAGAGTGGGGTATGGGCAAAAATGCCAGAACTGGCTGGTATCTCCTAAGCCGCAAAAGAGATAACCCAAAATGGTATAGCCGGGAAAGCTATAATAATCTGCACAGATAGCAGACAAGTGCTTCTTCCAAATGTGCCTATCTTTTAGAGATATTGGCGACCACATTGACAAATCTTCGTTACAAATATTTCAAGTTACGCGCTACGCAAGTAGATGTTCGAAACCAAAATTCAGATTATTACCTAAATCTTTGCCTTCTACAATTTTCAAAGCAAACCAGACATGGGGAATCTAAAATTGCATTCCACGACATATCGACAAACAAAACTACCTAGAGAGAAAACCTATTTTGCCAGATTATCCGAAAAGGAAACTAGTGCAGCATTGTCTAGAAATGGAGAAAACCTATTAGGATTATCCAGACAAGATGTCTGTAATCTTGGATTCCAGTTAGCCAGAGGAAATAACATTCCAAATTCCTTTATATTAGTTTAAAAAACAACAAATTGGAAACAACCAGCTTTATCACAATACATACTTCCCATTCTTCTTCTTAAAAAACGACAAGGCACAAGAGGCCGAAAATTGATCACAGCCAAAATTTTGACTACAACTCATAAAAAAATGAACTAGAATTGTCCATCGTATTGAGAATTGAAAAAATCAAATTAAAAGAAAAGCTGGGTTCGACGAAAAGAAAAAAACAACTGACGATGCAAAACCTGGTAGCAGCAAAAGGGATTTTGTGGCAGCAAGTTCAAGTTGTGTTATAAAAAAACAAGAAAGGTACTGGTAGAAGACGACACATCTTCAGATGATTTAAATGAAAGTATCCTACCGCTAGGTGACTCAACTGATGAGGAAGAATTCCCGAATGTGGGCAGTAGGCCAATTGCTGTTCAGGACGTTTTACAGATGATTTAAGAGAAGAAATGTGGGTACAGTTCCTAAGATGCGTTCTGGTCACACGAGTTATGCGCTGATGCCGAACGCGATTGCTATTTTTGTTCCAACAAATTTTTATTAATCCAACCCTTTATCTTACCAATCCCCATTTGCAGATACGAGAAAAGTTAATTTTTTTATGTGAAATAACGATTTAAAAAGGTGTCCCATCTGGAAAGGAATCTTCAATCTAAAAATTAGTGGGGGGAATCAGCTAGCAATGTTCAAAAGTGAATATGAAGACTTCACATCGAAAGTGCTTACTCGAAAGCGATATCTCCAGTAATAATGGACCGATTTTAATGTTTTTTTTTATCTAGGGTAGAGCTTGAAAATAATAACAACTACTTATGCAGTCTTTGTTGCAATAAACAACCAAGAATTTGTTTTTTTTTCTCTTTTCTGTATTTTTAAAATTGATTCAATATTACATTCCAAGAATAATGCAATATTTGCATAGTCTGATTGATACTACTATAAGTGTATTTTCATTTAGTTGTAAACAATAAAACAAAAAAATAAATTTTAAATATCTGACTATATTATTTACAACTAAATGAAAATGCACTTATAGTAGTATCAATCAAACTATGCAAATATTGCATTATTCTTGGAATGTAATATTGAATCAATTTTAAAAATACAGAAAAGAGAAAAAAAAATACATTTGAAAAATCTTTTAAAAGCAATAAATAGATAAGAACAAGAATTTGTTATAAACTATCCTTTAATCAAGAATCTATTTTAAATCCAACCTATAAAATATTAATACACTTCTCGAATTATCATCTTGTCATGCACTTGAAATAAAACTGTGGAAGATATTCATTTGTTACCATAGAAAATCGGATACAAACAATTTGTTTGATAAAAAATATTCCATATAACAGCAAAAGTTTTAAAACTTGTTATTAATATTCATACTAAAAGTATGTTACCAATAAATTTCTGAAAATAATTTGACTGACTCACCTGTGGGCTTGTCCACCTTTTCCAAACTTCAAGGACTGGCCACCAAAAGCTCTTTGGTAGATTTTTCCTTCTTGAGTTCTCGAGAATGGCATTCCAGCATTTTCTAATTCGATGACAGCCTTCGGGGCTTCCCTGGTCATGTAATGAATAGCATCCTGGTCTCCAAGCCAATCGGAACCCTTCACTGTATCATACATGTGCCACTGCCAGTTGTCTTCCTCCATGTTACCTGTAAATAAAGTAGAAGAAAACATGTTTTACAATGGATCAGTATTTTTTCTGTTATGAAATAATTAATTGGTTAATAATGGTTAATAATGATAGTTATCTATAATATATACTACAATCCATAAGATGCTGCATCCAATATATTTCTAGTAAACTGGCAAAATATGGGGTAAAAATGTTTGCATTATGTGATGCCAAAACTGGCATCACAGTCAATCAGGCTGAACACAGCCTGATATTCTAATATTTTGACTATCGTAATGCAAATTTTGTAGGTCTAAATAATTATGTTTCTTCAGTTGACTGGAATATTGTTTTTGATGATTCAACTATTAATATCTCAGTAAATAATTTCTATGAAGTTCTTTCTGAAGCAATATCACTCTTTGTTCCGAAAAAAACATATAAACCTTTAAAATTTCCTCGTTGGTTTTCTCTAAATTTAAAAAAAAACTTATTATCTCAAAAAAAACTGCTCATGCTATATTCAAACATACTCAGTTAGCAGCTGATTATACCTTATTTTCAGATCTTAGAACACAATGCAAAACATTAACAGATCAATGCTACAGATCTTGGAATTCCAAATGTCATGCATTTTAATGACTTGTTGCTGAATCAAGTGAGGAAATAGCAAACTTGTTTGCGAGCCATTTCTCTAGAGTCTATTGCTCAGACAAAGTTAATTTGAGTAACTTCAATTGTAAAGTAAATAATTCTGTTGACATTCCATTTATCAAATTTTCACTTTCTGAAGTCTTTGAGTCTATAAATGGTCTAAAGGATAAAATGAGTTATGGCCCTGATAATATTCCTACATATTTCTTAAAAAGATGTGATACAGTCTATCCAAACCTTTACATGTATTATTTAATTTATCTTTGAGACTACACACCTTCCCTAGTAAGTGGCGTGACAGTTATATAACTCCTATATTTAGGCCTGTTATGTTATCTGCCATCCCTAAACTTTTTGAACTAATTCTAAAAAAATATCTTACTTGGCAATTGTAGGAATCTCTTAATTAATGAGCAACATGGATTTAGGCAGGGTAAAAAATAATGTTGTGTTTGACTATCACATTAATACATGCCTTCTATCAAGAGTGGCTAAAATAAAAGATTTGGGAGTGTTCTTCATCAACACGACATCAACAATTTGTCAAATAGAGTTTACTGAAATCTAGGTTTTATCACAAGAAACTCTTGAGATCTTTCAGTACTTACTTACTTATTCCGTGGCGTTACAACCCTTCGTGGGTTTTAGCTGACTCGACAACATGCCTCCACTGTTTTCTGTCTTGAGCAACCTCCATCCAATTCTCCACGCCCATAGTGCTTAGGTCTCCTGCTATATTATCTCGCCACCGGAGACGAGGGCGTCCGCGTGGTCTCCTTCCAGTTGGGACTTCCTCCCACACCAGTCTTACTGTTCGTTCGTCAGAATGTCTTCTGAGGTGTCCTGCCCATTGGAGTCTTCTGGACTTTATTTCTTTTATGATGTTGGCGTCTGGGTAAAGTTCTTCAAGCTCTTTATTAGTTCTTATCTTATATTGTCCTGATGCTTCATCAAGCACCGGACCGAAGATCTTCCTTAGGATTTTTCTTTCCCAAACACGTAGTCTCTCTTCATTTGCCTTTGTTATCGTCCACGTTTCGCTTCCATACATCACAACGGGTCGTATGATTGTTTTATAGACCTGTATCTTCGTACGTCGTGTTAGTTGTTTTGATTTTATAAGGTTTTGGAGGGCAAAAATACATCTGTTGCCGGTCTGAATCCTGTTGTTTATTTCTTGTGATCCGTTATTGTCTTCAGTTATTGTTGTTCCAAGATACTTGAATTCTCTAACGCGCTCAAAGTTAAAGTCATCGATGGTAATGTTTTGACCGGTTCTGTCTCTGCTTTGATTATTGCAGCTCATATACATATATTTCGTCTATCTTTCAGTACCCACATATAGAATTTTATATCTTACTTTCATCCGTAGCATCCTGTCTTACGCTTCTATAGTATGGTCACCATACTATTTTAACCATATTCACATTCTTGAAAAAATTCAAAATAAGTTTCTCCAGATTTGGGGATATAGTTTAAACTTAAGGAACATGTCTTCAGTAGAACTAAGGTCAAGGCTAAATATCAGTTCCTTAGAAGACTACAGAACTAAATGTGATCTAGTTTTTCTCAATTACTCTTCTTGACCATACCACTGACTGTTCTGATTTATTAAGTCTTATCAACTTTAGAAGTAACACTAGAATTCTTAGAGACATGCCTTTGTTTTCTATAAAACACTATCACACTAAGGCAAATTCTCTCCTATTAACAGGATTTAGATCCTGGGAAATGACTTAGAAAATTTTACGATCTGGTGGATATAAAATTTGTAAGATTTTAGTACTGTTTGACTGAGTATGTTAGGAATCAAAGATGAGTGACATTTAACTTGGAGTATTCATTTCATTTCATTTTATTAAGATCTTCAGAAAATTTAATTTAAGTTTCTTAATTTAATCATTTGTTTAACTATAATAATTAAATCATTATTTAATACTTAGTTTAATATGTACTTGTATTATGGTTAGCATACTTTATTTTTGTTAAATTTTGTAAAAATGGGGACATCCCGTAAATAAATAAATAAATAAATAAAATATGAGGTAAAAATATTTGCATTATGTGATGCAAAAAGTTTTTACACAACTAATCTAGAAATATGGGAGAGAAGAACCAACAATGAATTAATGGCTTTATATAAAGAACCTACCATTACCAAGTTCGTCAAGTCACAAAGAATCAGATGGTTGGGACATGTGGAAAGAATGGAAGCAAACAGAATGCCCAAACTAGTAATAACCAGAAAACTAATCAGCCCCAAAAGAAGAGGTAGACCCAGAACAAGGTTGATTAATAAAGTGGAGGAAGACCTAAAACATGTGAAGATGTGGGACTGGAAAAGAAAAGCATAAAATAGAAGTGATTGGAGAAATTTTGTCCACCAGGTCCTTCAGAGTAGTTAAGAATGTTGTATAGATATATTTAAGTTAAAGTTTTGTTTAGAATAATTGTAATTAGTTAATATTAGAATTATGTTTACATAAATTACCCTAGGCCTTAACTGCCTGTTGTGTGTAAAAATAAATAAATAAATAATCTAGAAATATATTGCTGAATACAGCTATATGAACCATTTGCGATATCTTACACCCGAACAGATTTTGTTATACAACAAATTACTTAAAATAAACTATGAGGAGCAAAAATGATTACCTCTAAGCATCTTATTAACTACTACACGCAGAATATATTATTATATTTGTTTCAAATGTAATATATAACTTTATGTTAAATTTGTGTAGTAATTTTAGAATATTTTTCATAAAAAAGGTAGATAATGTACCTTATTTAATAAACATCTGACTGTAAGTTACATATTTAAAGATTTACAGTGCTGTCATGTCATCAAAAGATTCTGTTAAGTCACCTATATCATTTTTAAGAAAAATAATTTGTTGATAGGTTAAACATTAGATGAATCTAAAAATTAAGTAGCTTAAGTTTTGGTGGTAAGCTGAGTATAAATCAGTTGTAACATAATTTGCAAGGATTAAATGACTTTGTAAGTTTTGGTATTTGGTTAGATTTGTTTGATAAGATAAAATTTTCTGGTCCAGATGGTCAGGTAGGTACTGTTCAATAAATATTTTAATTGATATTTCAGAATAATATTTTAATAGATTGTAGCATTTAATGTTATATGTCAAATTTCTGATTTTGGTAGTACTAGTTTTGTAATCACACAGGTTTTTAACCAACTATATTATAGTAAAGTGAAAAAGAAAACGAAAGTTCTCCAAAAAGGGCATTCAAAAGAAGCACAAGCCTATAGCTTCAACTCCATCTAGATGGTAGGGTTACACCTATACTATGAAAAAATTTGTTAATGTGTTTTTTGTGGAGTCTAATGTGCTGCCTTTAATGTGTTTTTTTAGAGAACTTTTGAAATTTTAACTTTTAAAAGAAAATTGTATTTTTCAACAATGGAATCGCTCTCAATTAGTGGTACCTTATAAACTTAACTGTAGCTTTGAGAATGGCTTGTTAAGCCAAAAGTGCTCAGCTAGGTATTCAATATTGTACACACTTCAAAAATAATTTTCTTTTCTCTTTCTTATTTGTCAGAAGTGTATACAAAAACAAAAGTAGTATTTTTCAATAATTAAACAATATTTAATCTATACTTAATGATGTTTGATAATAGTACATTAAAAAACTCACCTAGGGCTGCATTAATACCACCCTGAGCAGCCACAGTGTGTGACCTCGTGGGGAACAATTTTGTGATTACAGCAGTCTTAAATCCTTCTTGTACCAACCCATAGGCAGCCCTAAGACCAGCCCCTCCTGCACCAACAACCACTGCATCATATGTGTGGTCTACAATGGGGTAAACCTTCGAGACTGAGTCGCTTGAACTGGCATTTTTTCTGTCGACTTGGATGTGAAGCTTCCTGGTAGCAGCTATGGGCTTAACCAAGGAATTTAGCTGTAATTTGGAAAACAAATTGTTTAGTATACTATTAGCAAACAGTTGTTTCTATGAATTATTTATGGTGGATTTAAAATTGTGGGCATGTCCCCACAATAGATAAGGCATGGTAGATAAAATTGTATAAGCAAACCACAAGTTATTGCAAAATTAGCCCTTATTATGGCACAATTCATTGTTACTGAGCCTAAGCGCTAAAATAAAATCATTAAAATGTTTGTTATTTTTGCTAATTATGATTACATATTTTAAGATTATGTAATAAAAAAAACTGAATAACCTACCTTGAATGAATTTCCTATTACATTTTTTACACATGCTGCTTGAAGTTTTAGTATGCTACTCATATTTAATTGCTTCTTGAATTAATTTATAAACCGAAAATCCCACACTGTTTTTAACCCTGTATTTGTCTGTTTTTTTGGTTAGTGCAAAATGAAAAAATTCATTTTAAAGTCGATAAATTTCAGTGATGCTGCCATCTAACGGTAATATTTTATAGTACATTCAAATCAGATAGAGGTTAATAAATAAGATAATTAAAAAAAGTTAAATTAAATAGTTTAAATTTGGATTTTATTTATTAATTATTAAGTGATTATAAATAACAACTTAACAGTTTAAATTAAATTATGCTTATTAAAGGAATTGCCATGGTGTTCTAAAAACAGTATTGGTCTTGCCATTATGACAATCTGTCATTAATTTATTAATACTTTTTTAAGAATTTTATGATTTTATACTTATTTAAAAATTACAAAAATTTGAAACATTGTTTTTCACTTTAATTTGTTATATAAAGCATTTTCAATACACCATATTAGTAAACACATTTTTGATGTGATTTTGATAATAATCTCGGCAAAGTTCACTTTTACTACTCAATGGTTCACCTATAACAGCTACTCTGTTCAACACAGCAACATTATACTGTAATGCAATTAATATATGTAAACATCGTTTTTAAATACAAATCAATAAAAAAACAAAACAAATGTGTGATGAGAAGGAGCATAATAATTATTTACAATAACTTTCTCAATAAATAATTTTGTAGACCTGTTTCAGATTTATTGCGTTTAACAGATTTTGACATGATACTATGAATAACAAGCATCGAGCAATAAGACAAAAGAGGGAATGTAAAGGTAGTGGGGGTAAACATATTGATAGACAGGAAGTGCCATCTTGAGAGGCCACTTTAGACAAGGATAGACAGTCTCTTTCCTTGTTTAAGAAGTCAAATTTAGTTTGGTTATGTTATTGTTTGTCCCAACTGTCACATGAAATTTTATTTATATTGAAATCTTTTACCAATTGTGTTACTTTTTAGACTATTATAGTTAATATTTAATTAAAACTTTCTCGTCTGAAAAATATTTTATAGCTATTGTTAATAAGTGTTGGAAAATTTAAATTTAGCGCCTTTGCATTTCCGAATATGTCCGCCATCAGAGGCCACTTTTTTGGTCTCCTTTTCATAACGATTAGATTCCCTCTTTTATCTTTTTGCTCGATGATAACGAGATAGGATCTTCCCGTTGCCCCAAATCGGTCGTGTTCGCGCATGCCGTCATTGGAGAGTAGAATTTGAATTCTTGTTAAAATTAAATAGGATTTGTATGCATTCTGTGATGAAATTACTAGATGAAAATAAGTTAAAAAGTTCAATAATTACAATAATTGTACACATAAGGATATCTCCAAACTATTTATTAAAGATTATTTATTGACACATACAAAAAACTGACATTTCGAACGTGCAACTCTCCAATGACGTCACGACTTATGCGCAATATCTTATCTTCTTATCATAGTATCATGGATTTTGATGTTTTAAAGGCGCTTTAATAAAATGTAAGAAAACAAGCTTTAATATTAAAATATAGAAGTTTTGTGATGATTGTTAAACTTAACAAGTTTTTTTGTTGTCGGGACATAAGGTTAGGAGTACGCCAAAGAATTTGACCGCCTTTGAATTTTGGTCTTACAGAAGAATTCTACAAATTTCATGGACTCAAAGGATATCAAACGCAGAAATTAGGCTGAAATAATGCTGACTATCAAAAGAAGAAAACTTGAGCACTTAGGCCATGTTATGACAGGCCAAAGATACTGATTATTAGCAGCTTATTATGCAAAGCAAAATTCGAGGAAAGCGAAATGTGGGAAGACGAAGAATATCGTGGCTTAAGAACTTGAGGGAATGGCTTGAATGCAGTAGATTGTTTATTATTCTGCAGCAGTAGTGTAGAACTATTTAGAACGGCAGTCAACAGTGTCCATAGCCACAGAATAATAAACAATTGTTTATAATAATAATAAACAATTGTTTATTATTCTGTGCCATAGCCATGATGATTTTCAATCTTCGACAGAAGATGGAACTTAAAGAAGAATACTGCTAATGTAAAATTATTTCTGTTTTTTGGATACGTCCCAGTCATAAGGATTTCTTATTAATTTTAAATTACCAGGAGCTTTATTTACCGTACTTTCCACAATTCGATTAGTAGGTAACAAAAATATTGATTATAATCTGTGTGATATTAAATCAAAATTGAAAATTGTGCTAGTCCAGATCTGGTATATTAATTATTTTCTTTATACAATGACAGATGGCGCCAAAGTTAATTGTGGACTTTAATGTAATAGGTTGATAATCCAAAAGATTGCATCAACCATCAAGGTTGTGACAGCTGTCAAAATGAAAATGTTCAGTACAGTAACACAGTAATTAAACTCAAGGCTGCCAGGTCTAGGGATTTATCCCGAATCTAGGGATATTTCAGTATAAAAGGGACAAAGGGATTTTTTTGATATTTAGTGTAAAATCTAGGGATTTTTGACCGGCTCAAATATTTACCTATATAGGCCTATTATAATAACATTTTCTTTAATTCAGGTATAAAACGCCTTCGTATTAACAGTATTATAAACTTAAGGATTCTATTATCAGATGTCGCTACTGTCCACGTCCTTGGAATCTTTATTTTATGCTAAATAGATTTCTGCCAAAAATAGATTCCTATATATTTTCAGAAAGGAGAAACCAATTCTGGAGCAGAAATTAGGAGATTTACAAAAATCTTAGGTTTTATAAAATAAACAATTAGGGGATTTACAGTAGGAATCGGGTGAATTACAGGATTCGTGGAAGTATCTAAATAAAATTCTATGTTTCACCGTCTGATTTCTCTTCAAGTTGTATTTTGTATTAATTTTATTAAGTGAATAATACATAATATACTCCATTCGCTTAGCTCGGGCATATTTTGACAGATTCATTGTCGGAAACCTACAACACAACAATTCCTACTTCTCAGTATTAATAGCTCAAGTATACTTACTATTGTAGACTTCTTTCTTTGAAAAAGAAAAATCATTCTAAATAGTGGAAGTACTAAACCCATCAAATTTTAGGTAGTATATATTTAAAAAATATATTTTAGTTATTATAATTTATCAACTATTTATTATATGGTGCAGATAAATAAATATTGAGTGTCTGTAATTCGCAAAGTTCTATTTGATTTACTATTTAGTTTATTTACTATTAATATTGGCAATAATATTAATAGTAAACGTATTAATAGTACGTGTGCTTGGTTGTATAGTAATTTCCAGCCATTTTTAGTCTGTCAAAAAGTAACTAACTTCGCAAAAAAATAATTAGTATAATAAATTCACTAGACAGTTCGGACTGGGAATAAAAATAATGTTAAATTTATTCAAATCATCGCTAGTGTACCGTGTAAAAATGTAATGTTTTTTAAATAAAGGGATAAAACAACAATTATTTTTTTATATCTATGTTATTATATTAGGCAACCATCAATACATCCCATCATTTTATTCAGAATTAGGCAACTATATATACATTTATTCGAATCTAGGGATTTCTAGGGATATTTTCATGTTCAAGTTAGGGAGGACAAAAATTTTCACCTGGCAACCCTGATTAAACTTCCAAGTGAGGTGATATAAAGTGAGGTCAAGTCAAAATAGTGAATTCGATTTTTTAGCTGAATGTATTGATGATGTTGTAAACCAATACTCAATTGAATGAACTCCCTTAATGATAAACAAAGTATTTTTATTTTAAGATATGAGGACCACCTGTTTATTACTACTGCTATTGTCTACGTCTCTGTGTGAGCTATCCGATGTTAGTAATTTCTTGTGTTTAATAATATAGCAAATTACGGGAATTTTTATTACTTAATGTATAATCTATTTGTAGAAAAGAAGACTGTCTAGTTTAGAACTAGTAAAAGACAAAGATTCTAGATTATTGGTTTTTTCAACTTTGGATGGTACTTTGACTGGAATTGAACAGCAGACAGGCAATGTAAAATGGACAGTTAAAGAGAGTATGTAAATTTAAATATTTATGTATGAAATAAAACAAGCTTTTATCTTTAGTTCATGCAGAAATTTGCATTCTATTTTTAAATTGCAATTTTAATGACTGATAACTTATTTTAGAACCTATTGTTCAAGTGCCACTGAATGTTTCCAATGCAATTGTTCCTTTTTATCTACCAGATCCAAGAGACGGGTCACTTTATTTAATCGGAGATGTCAGGGAACCCTTGAAAAAATTACCATTTACTATTCCACAGTTAGTTTCAACATCTCCTTGTAGAAGTTCAGATGGAATTCTATATACAGGTAGCTTTGTTAATATGTATTTTGATAAGGTCAAAGGAATGCACTAGAACTAAAAAAGATTGAGATTTCACAAAAAACAAAATTACATCTCTCAGGTGATTAATATGTGAAAAATTATATCTCATATGTGTCTGTATTTTTTTCTCTGGGGCTCAAATTTGTGTAAAATAAGGTTCACATAATAGATAAGCATTTACTTCAAGCAAATAAAAAATATTTACCTTATATGTAGACATAGATACTAAAATAAATTTTTGAATTAAATTTAGTATTTTCACAATATTTTAATATTAACGCGTTCAGCCCAGGTGGCATCAATATGATGCCTCACTAAATAGTACTCTTGGGACAGTGAGGCATCACTTTAATGCCACACTACAGTTTTGTATTTGGGACACTAGCATCAACTGTGCCTCCACAGCTATATAAATTACATTGTAAGTTGGACAGGGTGGTCCAAGGAGCAAAATAATATTTCCGAATCAGATGTAAGATGATTTTTATGAAAGATATGGAAATTATAAAACTTTATAAAAAAAAATAAAAGATTTTATTCAGAATGTGCAAAAATAATTATAATAATATAACAACATATTATTTTAAAATAGCATTATGTGTTGAGAAAAAAACAAGAAATACACAAAGTAATGTTTTTTGCATTGGTTGCACAAAAATTTAGAACGAGAACACTTGTTTTGATCTTCCTTCTGCCCTAATTCATTCTTCATTCAGACGTAGCAAACCACACATCTGTTTTTTCCTTCTTCTACAAACTCATGACCAACATCCGTGTTATCATTGATATTAGTTTCAATAGCGGACATTTCACCAAGTAGTTCTATAGCGACTTCTGTTTTGAACTCTGTCATAGTCAATTTAGTTTGTGTAACCTATGTATATACAATATAAGCATTCACCAAGGCACTACCAAACAATAATTCTGTGGCTAATTTTCTGTACCATTTATTCCCTTGTCTCAAGCAATGTGAATACGCTTTTTTCTGATCTGAAAGATCAATTAAGGATTTTGAATTATTGTAATCAACAATCATTTTGGGCTTTTCAATTTCTTTGCCTTTGTGTAGACGTTTCAACATTCCATCCCCAATTTTTTCACTTTTTTTTAGTTTCTTCTTGACAACCTCGGGATAATTCATTTTCAATAAATGCCAATAAAAATTTGAATCGCTTAGTAACTAATGCATTAGTTTCTAAATTTTCTGCTCTTGTATGCATAATAGGAATAGAAAAATAGGAATATTCGTTTGCAAATATTTTTCGCTTTTGCCTCATGCAAAACAATTGTCTGTTTCTAATATATCCTGTTTACTATCTGTATCAAGATTTTGTATTTCAACTTCATCTTCTTCAGAACTATTCGCAGAATTGTTGCATTCTAATTCATCATTACTATCAACTTCCTCTAGAAGTATCTGCAAATATTTTTGCTTTTCCTCACAGTTCATTTTTATTTCTATGAAGTAAAAAATAATTTATTCACTAAAAATATAACACTGAAAGATTCAATCCCTACCTTTACTACAACTACAAAAGCCAACGTCTGTCTCTGAGACTGAATGTTTGTGTAACGAATGAACTGTCTAAGTTCAACAATCTATTGAAACTAAAAACAGTTAAGTAAAATATGAAGCTATTGAATTAGCCCAATATTGCATATCCAATATTGAATTCCGATATTGAAATACCGGAACAAATCATTAATTATTGGTATGAATAGGTTAACAGTGATACCAGATGTTAGCACTATAAGGTTAATTTTGGTGGGACTAAATTTGTGTATTTTGATGCAACGAATTGTCAATACTGACAACAGAATTTTCTTAATTTGTGAGTGGCTGTTGGAAAATCTGTAATAAGCTTCAATGTAATGTCTATGAATTTAGTTCCTTCAATTTTGAAAATATACTAATTATGTCTATTTTTTATTGTGTTTATGTCTAGTTATTTAATAAAAATTATTATTTATAAAAACAGTATCTTGAATACACTTATATTTACCAGTAAATTATTTTCTAGGAAAGAAAAAAGATACATGGTTCAAATTGGATCCAAAATCTGGCAAAAAACAGCTGATCATGGGCTGGGATGATTACAGCCCAACATGCCCTATAGACACGAAAAGTTCTGTCTACATTGGCAGGACGCAGTATACTTTAAGAATGGTTGATGAGAAGAAAGCAGATAATAAGTGGAATGTTACTTTTTATGATTATACAGCTAGACCTATGGGTATGGAAGAACTAAATAATTATGGTAAGTTATACTAATTAGTGTCCATTACAATAACTCTCAAGGATTACACTTAATTTAAGACAGACTTAATTTTGTTAAGACAGAATTGTTTTTGTTAATATTCACATATTTCCATTGGTACAAGTCTTCTTCTTAAAATAACTATGATAGCAAATGAAATATGAAGTTTACATGAAAGCCTTTATCTTAATCTTCTTTTTTATTTAGTTATCATTAGCATTAGAACATTTGTTGAATATTATTTTTACACCCGATGAAACAACCATTAGAACATATGTGCTTTGGCTAGATCTTCTTCGACATAATGCAAGCAGGTATATTATTAGTCAAATACTAAATTTATCCTTTAAACACTATATCAGGAACATATTATGGTGGTTTGTTAAATTGCCTCTTTTAGTTAAAAGGTTCTGAATGAAATTACATTGTCATAAATAATTTTTCACACTTGAATCTTAACTTTGCGATGGACGTTTTATTTATTTTATTTTAAATCATAGCAATCACAAATACATACTTTTCTTTTTTGGGTTCATCATGTTTACAATTTCCCAAAATCTTTATTGACTGCTACGTGAAATAATTCTTCTACCGTGAGCTATCAATTTTTTCCCTCCACTTTTCCTTGTGTTATATCGCGAAGTAGATGGTATTTAGGTCCTCTAATCATGGGGCTAAAGTATTTTATTTATTTTCCTCTGTTCATCATTCAAAGATCATCTTCATTGAATGTGTACGAGATTGACGACATCTTTAGGATCTTTCGACAGCACTACAATTCAAATGCTTTCTAATTGTTCAACATTGTAGTTTCTGTTACATGCCATAAAAGCCTTCCATAATATTTCAATTCTGCTTATTAGAGTAGTACAGTAGAGTAAATTTTTAATATATTATCTTTTCATCAGTCACGAAGGCTGATATTGATCTACATTCACGTTCAGAACTGTCATCCACTTTATTTGTGAATGGTAATTTTAAGACACCTTTGGCAACTTTTTCTATTGACCAGGTTTAATAATGTTTGGAGGTCTTTTAAGTGGATCATTTGGAGTATTGGAGCATCTGATTCCAACAAGATGGGTGCCTTTCACATAACAATGCTTTGATGCGGAAGTATTTAGATACTACCTTCTCAAATCGTTCAATATGCTGAAGACAAGGAACTATCTAGTGACCAGCGAGATCACCGGTTCTGTCAACCTATGATTTTTGTATGGGAACACATCAAGTCATTGGATTTATGGTCATGATAGGGCTACTAATTTACTACTTTCCAAAATATTATACAATTAAAAGTGGAAAAGCCAAGAAAGCGATGGTAACACAGAAAAAGAAGGAAGAAGACGTTTTCACAGTGACTAGCAGGCTTAAGCAATTTAAAAATACAACAGGATGTGCGTAAAACATCTGAGGAGATCCAAAATTTCTTATAAAACAGTTACTGCATTGAAAGTTATGATTATATCAGAATTTGTTTAAAAAATACTAATGCCGTGTTGATTTTGTCCAGTGATGTATATATATGTTTAGTTTTTTATAACTGTTAGTTTTGTTTTAGGTATTTTATAATTTTTTATTTAAATTTATTATATAATTTTTATTGGCATCGATATTTTCACACAAACAATCATCTTACTTCCTATAGTTGCAGTTAGCAATTAAAATTACGAACAAGTGGGTAGTATTTTATTCTTATTGATTAAGCTTATGCATTTTTCGCAAAAAGTTAATAAGTTGATGTTATCTATATTTAGTTATTATCAGTATTCGGCATAATATTGCGTTTGTGATTGGTGTGATAAAAATAAAAGATTCGAACCAATAAAATGTTCAAGGTTTTTGCACTAATAATTAAATCAGATACTTGCAATATACATACAACTAATAAACAATACAAGTAGCAAGTGAATGCAACTGAATTTTTTTCCTCATATCCTTGTTTCATTATATCTAAACTTTTATTTCTTTTTGTTTCCAATTCTTTTATTCGGTTTTCCCGTATTTTCCACTGACCAAAGCAAAGGCTAAGATAATGAGAAACATCCATTTCCATGTACTCATAAAATGCATTTGCTCTTCTTGAATGAATCCGCTTTTCAGCCATTAGCTACGCCTTTGCAGCAGAGTGTGCGGAGCACTTTTAATTTGTTCTTTGAGAAGGCAGCACATACTGTGAGTATCGGAGGCAGGTGACTTAAAACCTAAGTTAATATTTTACTTAGTTTATTAATACTTAATTCACTATTCAGATATAAACATTTGGCTTCTATCTTCTGCAATGTGATTTAGTTCCTCTGGGCTTTTTACTCTTAACAGTTTTCTTCTTCAGATAGTTCTTATTTTTGATAGAGTCACCTCCTTTCATTTTATCAACAAACCGTAAATGCATTTTTTGGATATGTTTTTAGTGTAGTTTCTCCAATACCAATAACAGTGCGAGAAAGCTTTAAATATACAATAGTTTTAGCACCAGACAGTTGGAAAAAAGTATTGTATTGAGTACTTTCGCTCAGATCCAGGATTTTAATTTTTGTTTATGTTTACCGATCTAGGCGTATGTCTTTTGATTGTAATGTACCTACCTACTCACATGTAAGATAATTAAAGTATCTATGTATTTCTATATAGTTTTTAGTCACCTGGTATATGTTATTTACAATTATGAAAAGTTCTCATGTATAATCACTAATAATTATTTGCTGTTAGAAATCAGAATCAATACTCTTCATAAATATTTTCCTATTTAGAATAAATAAGTTTCGCTAGTTTATTCGCCTAATACTTCGTATCTATGGAATAATAATAATTTATTTCTCTTATTTCTTTGTTCGATAAGCTATCCGTATTTGCTATTTTAATATTAATATTTGAGTCCAATCTCTTGTACTCAAATCCATCCAGAAACATCGTTAAATAATTGTAGATAACAGAACTTATAAATTCATAGTTTTAAGAAATAACAGGCAGTGTAATTTTCATCCTCTAATATAATAAATTTATACATGTCAATATATTCTGTTTAATTCCAAAACAAAGAGTTAGTCCGGAGAAGAAATAAACGCATAGTATTCCATAACAAAATTTGGTGTCAGAACGTGGGATATTAGTAGCAGAGTTCCTCTGATTGCTGATAGAAGGAGAGCTGAGGAATTTTTGAATTGACTTGTTTCCTTCGAGGAATCATTCAAAAAAAACTGTCAGTGTGGAAAAATCGCCACTACAACTAATTACATTGGGGTCCAGTACATCCAGTTCGAAATCCAGTTCCAGTCATAACCCAATTGTAGTTCCATCGGAAGTAGAGGTGAACCCGTGGAATAATAGACTATGCGACCAACAACAATATTCTACTTGTAAGTACATTCTATCTTAAATTCTGTCTCATATTTTAAAAATCTTGTAAACGTATGTCTACTTTATATCCTGATATAAGTAACTTATTTGACGAACAAATACCTTCTCCCGACTCAAATTCTCTTTCAAATTCTTCTACTTCTAATTCAAATAAAATGTCAGTATCAATTGAAATAGCTGAAAAACTTCTCATTCGATTTGATGGTACAAAATCAAAATTATACGAATTCATAGACAATTGTGATAAAGCATACAATTTAGTAAATCCGCAATCCAAACCCATCTTATTAGCCATTATAGAAACTAAATTAACCGATAAAGCTAGGGCCATAACTAGAAACAGAACATTTGACGAATGGAAAGATTTAAAAGACTTCTTATTAGATGCTTATTCTGAACGCCGAACTGAAGGTCAGTGGCAATTGGAATTACATTCCTTACGTCAGATGCCCAGTGAAAATGTAATGTCATTTGCAAATAAAGTTGAAAATTGCTATATAAAATTAATAAATACACTTGATCCAGACTTATCTCCAGATGCAAGAAATGCATGTACTAAACTCTTAAAAACTCAAGCACTAAATGTCTTTATTAGAGGATTAAACAAAGACCTCTCTATTTTAATCAAAGCCCGAAATCCAGATTCCTTAGAAAGAGCTGTTGCTATAGCAATTGCCGAAGAACAAGAACAGTTATCAAGACAAGAAATTTTCAGACCATTCTGTAATATTTGCAAACGAAATAACCATTCCTCAAATAACTGTCGATATAAAAACAATTCAGATAGAAATGTTAGACATCTTCAAAATTCTAGTTTTCAAAACCCAAAATATCCTAATTCAAATCTTCAAAGGTCAAATTCTCAAAATCAAAATTATAAACCTTCAAATTCAAATTCCAATTCTGATTTTCCTCCAAACTTAAGAAAAGAAAATACCAACACTTCCCAACGTTTTTGCAGATACTGCAAAAAACCAGGTCACGTTATAGAAGAATGTAGAAAACGCGAATTTAACAATAAAAACAAAAATCCAACAAATTCTTTAAACTTCCAGAATCCTCGACAACCAACGGTCGATTCTCGAGGAGTTCGTTCAGTTCAGGCCGTATCACAACCATCAACTTCTCAGTCACTTCCTATGTAGATTTACCCTTAGTAAATAATTCTAATCCATCCTCTTGCAAGTTTCTAATCGATACAGGCGCAGATATTTCTTTAATTAAATATTCAAAAATACTAAACATTCCAAAAATTTATTCTAAGTCTATTACTCTACGAGGCATTGATAAAAATGTCTTAAATCCAAATAAAACTATATGTAGTTGTAACGTAAATTTCAAGATAAAAGATTTTGTCCAAACTCATGTTTTCTATGTCGTAGAAGACGATTTTCCTCTTCATTTCGACGGTATATTAGGTAGCGATTTTTTTGAAATAAATAAATGCCAAATTGATTATAAAGAAAATAAATTAAACTTTAAAAATTGTTCTATTCCAATTGAATATATAAAATCTCCATTAAACAATGACAATGACGAATTTCTGAGAGATCAAAATATCGAGACAAGTTCTAATATCGATGAAATATTTCCTTATGATGCTAAATCCATAGAGGATCATTCTTATTTAGAAACCAATGATA